AAGCTTTCATTGTTCACTCATGATTAATATTCTTTACTTATGTCGATGAAATTCCTTCATAACAGTATTGATATATTTGACGTTGTCTTATAAATATGAACTATCCACATTGTTTTTATCAATGATAAAGAAAGTTCGTTGCTTAAGTCATAACATAGCGCAAATATTCATATCTTTTCTTACTTATGACAAAGTGGTTTTTGAGCAATCCCCAATAGAAATATATCATTTCATTTTAATTCCATATTTAAAAATATTTCTTCTGTTTATTTGTTTTTATTTTTTTAAGTAAGGATCTGGTTTTATTTGTTTTTTTTTTCTCAATATTGCACATTATTATAAAAATAAAATAATAAAAAGAAATTAAACGATCATACCAGAAATACAAGTCTTCTGCAATTGAGTTTGGTTAGGATTTGAGATCGTATCGAACCGATACTCAACACTCAAACCCTTCTAGATGGACAGAACTAATTTTGATAGTGTTGAACAAATAGACCATAGAGATCTTCAAATACAGCAAAAGATTTAATGATATCTATAAAAAAAAATATTGTATTGTTTATATCGAAAAGTTAGTTTTTCGACGATGTTTGAGAATAGAAAGTGGTCAATAAGAATGGCATGAATACATGGATGGTTAAAAAGAACAACCAACATCTCATATAACTGTATTTGCTATTCCTACTGCAATTATTGGTAGTCTTTAATTTTCATCAATTTTTACCATATTCTTTTACAAAGTCATTGAATATTTTCCTGTATAAACGATTATGTCATTATCTTGAAACCAATTGCTTATTTCTTTATAATATTATAGTTGATCTAACAATTTTCCTTGTTTTTGGAAACTAAAACGTCTTTCAAGTGTTGTTCAAATGTTATTGATATATAAAGACTGTAAGAATTGAATATTGCTTAATCTTCATATGTAAATCGAATAAAATTGATCATTTCATTATACTATTTATCAAATAAAGGAAATCATCCAAACATACTGAATTCTATCTTTTTGAAATTAATACACACAAAAAAAAATATTTCTTTATTTTGAACGACAATTGTAGAGATAGAGCGTCATTTCTAAAACGAAAAGAGAATTCATAGTTCGAACTATTTATCAAGCAATCTAACAAGAAATTTTCAAGAAAAATCTACTTATTAAAAAGTTTGTCAACATCTCTACACTCTAATTGCATGAATACTGTTTGAGTAGTGTCCAATTAAACTAGAAGCGATTGTTTATCAAAAATGTCAGTCTCATAAATAAGAGTTAAAGAAAAAATAAACAATGTTTTCTTCTAGAAGACAAAAAATTATCGTTTTTTTTCAAATAATACATAAGAAGGAAATACTCTTCGTGGCTGATAACAATCATTTATAGCAAGGAAACACAATAAGTATCTTTCACCTTTACTTATCTAATTGGCATTTTATAGACTTATATTTAAGTTTTATATTTTCGAATTTGTTTATTGTTGTTGCCGCATCTAATCGATATTACGCTTCACTAAGCAAAATATTTACGATATATTAATGAAAAAGATATGTCAACTTACGTTTCGATCATTAAAATTTCTTCGTCGTCACCGATTGTAAAGTCTAATTCTTTTAATTGTAAACAATCGTTGATAATCACTAGAAGAAAAAAGATCGGTTCACCTTGTAGTTTTGAAAAAGAGAAAACGAGAAAACAGCATTGAGTAATATTCTACTAAAAGCGCGATACTAGCTTCTAAATAATCAATTCATTCAATGATTCATCTTTTCGACTAGATCTCAAAGTTCTCAAGTAGGAATATAGAAAATTGTAGTATTGATTTAGAATACTGTTCTATTTTCAAATTCTATTCGTCAAGAGATCAAGGCATTTTATAACAAAATTTAGATGAAACCATTCACCATTTAGAGCTACTTCAATCTATATATATACGTAGCTTACTTTCATAATCCTTAAGTTGAGCAAAAGCTGATATACAATATCTGATACATAAGACCAGTTCACTTTTTTCTGTGTGTAGAATGGGATTTATGATATTTTTGAATATCTAAAGTTATTAAGAAAGATAAATGGCTTATACACAGTAATATATGCACACTTCTATAGCTTCGTCGAACTTTTTATCTTGTATAAATGCCATATATTCAACTAATGTACTATTTGAATTATCCATCATGTATGATATAATATTTTTGAGGAAAAAGTATGATGGATGTTTATATATAGCACATTATCATCCAAACAAAAAAATGAATTAAGGGTGTGGGTATGGGTTTGGTTGTGGATGTGAGCAACACAGAAACATTTATATTCACCCATACACATACACCCACTCATACACTCTTAGTATTTTTACACTCAGGGTTATAGGAGTGTTTTT